GGCTCGAAAGCAGCAGAGCTTTTATTATGCCACAGTCGAGCGCTTCCGCTGCTTCCGGTCGTGCGTATGTGGAAAAAAGCAGTGCTGTTTTATCATACTAGATACATTTAGTTCTGTTATAATGCTGCTCTGTGCGGTCGTCACCGGTCTATTAAAATGCATAGCATATTAAAGCGTCTTTGGTGTTTCCATGTTTTCTACAAAACAAAACCGGAAATCGAGGGGTTATGACGTCATTGGCAGGCGACACAATGACACTATGGACACGGTCCGTGTCACTAGTTAAAATTGCTTATTTCTCTGGATTTAAACATTCTTCGAAACATTTGGGATAATGTAAGTTCACAAGTTAGCAAAATATATAACACTGTTCTAGTGCAGGATTCATATTTAAATAGTATTTTTGCGGCTTAATATTCACTGACACTAGTCCATATCACTTTTTGATCTAAATGTACTGACCTACTTTTGGATTATTCATCCAAAATTTGGCAAATTCTGTGACATTCCGCGATATACAGTAAATTCCATTTTTATGTCTGTATTACGCGATTCCGTCTGCATTTTCCGCATCGCAGAAATCATAGGGCCCTACTCATATGCTCACCAAGGCTGCATTTATTGGATCAAAAACAGTAAAATCATCAATATTGTGAAATATTTCTATTTTAATATATTTTAAAATGTAATTTATTCCTGTGATGGCAAAGACAATTTTTAAGCGGCCGTTACTCCAGTCTTCAGTGTCACATGAACTACAGAAATTATTCTAATTTGATGATTTGGTGCTCAAGAAACATTTATTCTTTTTATCAGTCTTAAAAATGGTTGATAATTTTTTTTTTCAGGATGATTTTTTTTTATGAATAGACAGTTGAAAATATCTGAAATACAAACCTTTTGTAACATTATAAATGTCTTTACTGCCGCTTTTGAACAATTTAATGCATCCTCGCTGAATAAAAGAATTACCACACCCACTGAACGGTGGTGTATACGTCACAAAACCAGAGGCTCTCCTATCAAAATCTGATCACAAATGGCAACAGGAAATGCACATAAATACCAGACAATCTGTCTCACCTGACCGGATCACCCGAGACAGATGTTTGTACAATGTGTAAACAGGGCCAGAGGGAGAAAGTACCTTAGATGAAGAGAAAGGTGACAAAACTGCAGTATGAGTGAGTTTGAGTAACACAGGATATCTACTGATGAACTCTCTCTCTCTCTCTCTCTCTCTCTCTCTCTTTGAAGATACGAGTGTGGATATGAGCCCAGGTCTTAAACGGCTGATAGCAAGTGTCACTGCTTCTCTGTCTTTTGTTTCCCCAGGAGCCTCTCAGTGGAGATTAAGAGCTTAGCGTCAGTCTCACGGGCCACTGGATCCCTGAACCCACACCATCACATCATCCTGCCAGCGGCATCTACAGTCTTACAACAGCCCTGTACTCAATTAATGTCCTTTTACAGCTGATACAAGCCATGACTGGACATACCATAAAAGTAGGGCGAACTCCTCTATACTTGAAACAAAAATACATAAACGCTTATTCACAGAATTTCTGCATTTAAGATTTTTCTCTTCACTGTAATAAAATAAGAAAACAATTTTATATGTAGCCTGAAAATTGCTTCTTGGGCAGGTTAAATTCACCACATTACAAACCCATTAGTGCCTGATGGTATTCAGAGACGGAAGTCTACAAAAAGAGGCCTCCGAAACCCAAACACAGCTTCAGTACCAATCCAAACTGCAGCAGCAAATAAGTCACCAAACATACTTAAAGGGTTAGTTCACCCAAAAATGAAAATTAGCTTGTGTTTTACTCACCCTCAAGGCATCCTAGGTGTATATGACTTTCTTCTTTCAGACGAATCCAGTCGGAGTTATATTAAAAATTGTCCTGGCTATTCCAAGCTCTATCATTGCAGTCAGCAGGTGTTGCAGTTGAACAGTCCACAAGTCATCAAATAAAGTGCACATCCATAATAAAACGTGCCACAGACGGCTCTGGGGGGTGAATAAAGGCCTCCTGTAGTG